CCCTTGCTTGCCCTCCACTCACTTCACTGCCAGAGCAATCTTCTGGAAACACTGTCTTCGCAGATCAGGAACCACCCATGAGCCCCCCGCTCTCAGTCCTGGCAGCAGTGGGTCTCTGCTGCCCTGCTGCGTTTCCCTTCTCCGCCTGCACGAACCTCCTCTCTAGGCAAACTCTGTGCCTTTGTGTATGCCACCCGCCTGCCCAGTGCGCCACCTCCTCCTGTCTGCTTGGCTAAGCCACTGAGTGCAAGGCTCAGAAGCACAGGCTTTGGAGTCAGAAAGACCTGGGTTTGAATCTCTCTCCACCTTTACTAGCTGTGGCCTTGGGCAATTAACTTCTCTTCCCCTCAATTTCTCCATCAGTAAAATGAGCTTACACTCTCTCTCAGGGTAGCCCCAGGGTTTAGCCAAGATGATGGTTGTAAAGGGGAATGCTTCCTGTAAAGCCTGGCCATGCTAAGTGCTGTGTAAACCAGAGTTACTGCTGTGTTACTCTGACCCTTCAAGTCCCCTTTCAGGTACCTCCGCCACCATGAAGCCCTCCCTGACCACTGGGAGGGGAGTAGCCTCCTCCATCCTGGCTTCACAGCAATTTCAGGGTGTGCTGTCCTGTCCTGCCCTGAGGGGTTCTGCTAGCTGTGGGGTTTTAGGCAAGTCCCCTTGTCTCTGTGCCTCGGGTCCTTCATCTGAGGAAGTGAAATGGGCATGAAGATAGTACCATCTTGTGGGCTTGTGCTAAGGGTTACGAGTGAGGGTCAGTATGTGAAGTGCCTGGCACATAGAAAGCGCTGGAGGAATAGTAAGTAGCACGAGCTTTATGGTCCCTTGGCATCTCCTCTACCCATCTATCCCTCGTGCTGTCAATCGGACCTCAAGTGCCCTGAGTCAGGGGTGGAGGCTCCTGCTTCCCTGGGGCCTCCCACAGCACCAACACTCAGCGGGGCCTGGCCTCACCCACTGGGCCTTCCCACCTGGCTGCCTGCAGCCACTGACAGCTCCTCAGGGCTCTGAGGCCTTCGAGGCTCCTTTAATGCAAAATGCCAAAGTCAGGGTGGGAATGGGAGTCCCCAGAGGTACCTCTCACAGGGGTGTGGCCCTCAGAGCCCCCTGCCCTAGAACACCGTCCTGTTTCTCCCAGGCCCCTGCCCTCTCAGAGTCCCCCTCAGGGACTCAGGAGAGCCCCTCTCTCCTGCAACAAGCAGGCTCTCCTCTCCAGGAGCAGCTGCCCACCCGCACTCCTGACCCCCCGACTCAGTGAGGGACCCCAGGGCCAGGGCAGAGTGCAGCTACAAGAAGCCGGAGGCGGGATCGGGTGCTAACACAGGCCAGGGGCCAGTGCAGGGTGTTTATTGCCAGTGCCATCGACCCGCACAGCTCGCTGTTTATCTGTCTTCCTGACACACCTAATTACCCAGGTTGCAGCTGCCAGAGCATTTGCTCTTCCTAAATCACGGGCTCCATCCCTCCCGTCGCCCAGGCCTCGGGCCTCTGCCTGCAGAAGGGCTGCCATTGATTTTGCCATTCCCATTTATGATCTACAAGGCTCTGCATCGCTGCTGCACATTTTACCTTAATTAGTTTATTCTTCTGGGTGTCCTCGGTCAGCCTGGAAGCCAAGGGGCTGGGACAGGGGAAGAGGCCAACGGCACTGGACACCCTAACCCCTCTGGCCACAAAGCCCAGAGCCCGGCCAGACACCAACACCCTAGCACAGCAGTTTGCTAAGAGCAGACTAGTTCTATGGGATGCTAGTGGGTGAACTGCAAAAAGGGGTTTCATGGCCAAGTTCATTTGGGAAAGGCAGGATTCAACAAAATTAAGCGGATAATTTATTGCAGGACTTTTCAAAGTTTTAATAGATGGATTGATGTCCATTGTGAATCTCTGAGAGGACATTGCAAGGTGTGGTCTTCCCCAAACTCGGATCGTCATGAAGCCCTTTCCCCAGGCAGCTCACAGCACACAGGGTTCCACAAAGCACACTTTGGAGGGCATTGTCTTGGGTGGAATTGGAGGTGTTGAGGCAAACAGCAGGGCACAGAGTCACCCTGGGCCCGTTGTGTCCTCTTGTCTCGCTGAGGCAGGAACTCGGCGGCTCCAGCGATTTCTCCCACTGACGCAGAGGTGCCCATTGGAGCGATGCAGAGCCCCAGCTACTGGCAGCGGCTCTCTCACTTGGCCCGGGCTCTGGGAGAGTTCAACTTCGGTATTTCAGGGGGCACTAGGCTCGCTGGAAGGACAGTCTAAAGGGCCCCTGGTTTGACAGAAAAGGGCAAGGGTCACTGACTGTTGGTGAAACTGGAGACCCAGCAGCCTACAGGGCCCCTCGGAGGCCCCCCAGGCATCAGGACGTGCTGCCAAGGCTGCCGCTGCCTCAGGGGCGGCTGTGGGGGTGCAGCCTGCGTCCACAGTCCCTCTCCGCCGTCCCAAAACCCGGAGCGCTCTGAAAGCCTCAAGTACTTTAAGTTTGTGGGGAAGATGAATTGATAGTAAACCCTACCCTGAGCTGTCAGGAGCTACTTATGGCTTTATTTATCCCACTTCATGTGAATATTCACATATTTATCTGCAGAAACATTAATGTGGTTAATTATGGGGTGCCGCCCCAGTCCCTGCCAGGGTGTCATGTAATAAACGGGGTGTGCACAGTGCTGCATTTCTAAAGTACGGAGGAGAAATCTCAATTTGCAAACCCTTCTGGTCCCAGGGATTACAGGGAGGCTCAAGCAGCTCAGGGGTGCCTGACCAGGTAACTCCCACAGCAGCGCCACAGGTGGGGGTGGGGGAGGGGCAGCTATCTTCCCCGGCTCTCACAGAGGACACCAAGGCTGGGAGAAGGGGAAGAACCGGCCCAGGGCCCCGAGCTCCCGAAGTCAGAGTAGCACCTGGGCTCCTGTGGGGCCGGCTCCTCAGGTGCCCAGGGGCGCACCTCCCAGTTCCCAGCAGCTCTGTGCAGCAGAGCCCCCCTGCAGCTCCTCAGCCCAGGCCGCCACCTGAACACACACCTGCGGTCTGCCTCGTGCTCAGCTTGTGAAGGGCCTTCCCTTCCCTGGGAGCGCCAGGCAGGGCGGCTGGGCTCCACTCCGATGCCAGCCCCTGCTGTCTGGCGAGCAGCCCCGAGACCAACCCCAGACCCCACAGGCTGTACCCCAGCCTCTGTGAGCCCATGTGGTGTTAGGCAGCCCCCACGTGAGGCCACTCAGAGAGCAAACCGTGCTGTCCTCTCAGGCAGTGCCGCCTGAGGGGTCCTTCATACAAGACTGCCCTCACCCACACATTCAGTCACTCACACTCACTTTCACACATCCACTCATTGTCACACTCACACCCCCTCGCATACACTCACTCTTACTCTCGGGGGTCCTCTCTCCCCAGATTCACACTCACTCTCATACTCACACACTCATTCTCATTCGTTCATCCATTCGACCCCACACTGACCCTCCCCGAACCCCTGCAGTGCAGACGCGATGCCCCTAAAGAACCCCGCAAGCATCTCGTCTGTGAAGTGGGAATAACTATCTGTCTGACACCGCCTCTTTGGGGGCTGCTGTGCTGACCTTTAACACGCATCACACCACTCACTGTTCCTCACGGTGAACCTGAGTGCAGTCATTGTCACCCCCACTACAAGCAAGGACACTGAGGCTCAGAGAGCTGAGCACCTTGCCCAGAGCCAATGGCTGAAACCTAGAAGTAGAGTCTGAGTGGAACTGACACTGAGCCTCAGGCTCGTTTACTCTAAACTCCGAGGTCTTGACCGCTGCCCACCCCGCTCCCTTCAGGCCCCACCCATGGCCTCGCCCCCGGGCCAGCCAGAGAGCCAAGGCCAGCGGCTCTATCCCCCACTCCACTATCCACAGCTCGCCTTCCCCGGTCCCTTCAGCTGCTGCTCTCTTGTGTCTCCCGTGCAAGTCCTTGGGGGCTGAATAGGGTCCTTCCTAAAACATGAATGTTTGGGCCTCACATTTGCAAGAACTAAACTAAGGGTAAGGGCAAAGGGGGGCGCTCTGTTTCAGTGGTTTCAGAAGGGCTTGAGCTCCCGCTGCTGGAAGTGCCTTACCATGTTCCCAGAACAAAACTTCTTGGCCATGGATGAGCTTCAGGAGGCTGCAGACCTCCTGTGATTACGTGTGGCACAGGTGGCAAGCACACGGCCCACGGGTCACAGCCGGCCCTCCACCTTGTTTTATCTGGTCCGGGACCTTGTTTCTACCCAGCAGCACTGACCTCCTTGACCCTAGTTAAGGGGTAGTTACATATATACAGTCCTAAAATGACATTCAGCCCTTTGAAGGCAACCCCGAGGCTGATGTGGCCCCTGGTAAAAATGAGTTTGACACCCCTGAATATGGCGTGTTGTGTGGGGCAGAGTCCCTGAGCTGAGGGGTCTTGGCCTCCATCCAGTTCTCAAAGGGGTCAGTGTCCCAAAGAGATGAAGACCACTACCCTCTAGGGACCTCCCAGGGCTGCCTGAGTGCCAACCCTACTGCCACCTGGCTCTCTGGGAGCGGAGGTGACACACCTGTCAGGGCTCAACTTCCAGCCCCTTCCTCAATTAGGACTCAGAGACCCACCCAGGTTCTGCTGAGACCCAAATCCAGCCCTGCGGGGAATAGAGGGACAGCCTCTGGAGAAAGACATTCTGGGCTGAGGCTGGGCGCTGAAATATGGGCACCCCAGGATCTCCCCGCTGATATTGAGGGAGCACGTGCAGACAGTGGAATCCCGTAGCCGAAGGTCATGTCACACACATGGTAGCAGTAACGCTTCTTCCATAGTTTCTGAGGCCAGGGTGGCCGTTTTTGTAAGCCTCAGAGTCTCTGTTCTCAACTGAAAACACCCGAGTGCCCCCCAGACAGAGGAGCCACACCTGCCGGAGTGCCCACTGCAAGGAGCGCTCACCTTAACAGACGACCCATCCACCTGTGGCGGGTACTCTGGAACCCACCTGCACCCTGGCCCACCCTCCACCAGCCTCCCTCTCCTCCTCTCTCCAGGGGTGGCCACATACACGGACAAGTTGTTCAAGTTCCGCAACAGCAGGTGGGAAGACATCCTGAGTGACGAGGTCAACGTGGCCCGCGGAGTAGCCAGCCTCTTCGCTGGGCGTTCTGTGGCCTGCGTGGATAGGACGGTGAGTTCAGGGGTGCGTGGAGGGCCGGGAGCAGGAGGGGCACACAGCGGTGTGAGAGCCCAAGGGGAGCCAATAGGCAGATGTCCCCAGACAGAGGGAGGCTTTCGAGGGTGGAGCTGAAGTTTGCACCACCTCCCAGCTCCCCGCATCTCGCACCTAGTAGATGCTAAAGAGCAACAACCGGGACCTGCAGGGTGAGGGGTGTTACAATGTACTTTCACATCATTTCTCCCATGAGGCCTTCCCAGCAGCCAGTGAGGAAACTGGCCAGATACTGTTAGCCCCCGGACAGCGTACTAAGGCCCAGCTTCGAGCAGTGACTTACTTGCCTGCAGACCGGAAATGGATTGGTGGTGTGGCTAAGACCAGAATCAGCTCTAAACCTCATGCTCATTCATTCATTCAACCAATATTTAGAAGTGCCTACTATGTGCCAGGCATTGAGCCGTGAGGCCCCCCGGACGAACGCAAGCATGGCAAAGGGGCTCAGGGCTGGGCGAGTGGGAGGTCACCACAGTGTGCGAGTGCTTTAGTCAATCCCTGGCTCCACCAGTGCTTTCCTGCCCTGCTTGTCCGCCCTGCCAGAAGGGTGGGGAAGAAAGGCCAAGTAGGGAGGGGAAGGAGCAGCTGCAGCCATCTGCCCTGTGGGGCCACCTCCACCGGGCTCGCGTCCCAGCAGCCCCAGCCGGAGCTGGAGGCCTGCTGTGGAGGTGATTTATCCCTCCTGTCACCTGCTCCCTTGCTGTCCCCTCCTCGACTTTACAAAACAATCACTAAATCAGGGGCCCAGCTGCTGCCCAGCATCCACAGGAGCGTCTCTGGCCCCCATCCTGGGGGCTGGGGTGAGGGGGCTGGCTCCTTTCAGGACTGAGGTGGCACAGAGGGGATTGAGGATTCAGTGTGAACCTTCACAGCAGAGGCCTCCGGGCTGTGGGAGAAGGCAGGTGCCAGGTATAAATATTTATTTCTTAACAAGCTGGTGCTGAGAGGAGAAGCCAAGCTGGGCTGTGAAGCCACATTTAGCCCTGACCTGAATCGGTGCCACCTGGACTCCTGCCTGGCAGGAGGGAAGGGGGAGACGGCTCTGTGTGCGGCTCCAGAGAATGGGGAGGGTCTGAGGGGTGCCAGGCCCGGCCGTGGCCGTGGCTGGGGGCCTCTGCCCAGTCTCCCACCGGCTTCCTGTCCCGGTCTTTCAGGAACGAGGCTTCCCATACTCCGCTAAGGTGGGAACCTTCTCAAAGCCGGTGGGAGGGCCTGAGAGTTAATCACAAAGAGGTGCACTCTGTCCTAACAAGGTCATCTGCACACCCACACACTTAGCCACAGGACAAAGGCACCGTGTGAAATGCGAAAAGGAAAAAAGGCATTGGCACGCAGCACAGGAAGCGGGCACTTAGCAGCTCCCTCGGTCCCTGCTCTTTCAAGCCTCAGCCTGTCCGCCGCCAGCGGAGGGGTGGCTTTTCTTATTCCGCCACCACCTTGGCCGTCCCCGGGGCCTGAGAACTGTGCAAGGAGGAAGAGGAAGAAGAGGTCAAGCTGAGAGACAGGAACACAGTGTGATGCAGGAAAACACAAGAGCAATAATAGCAATAAGAGCTATCGCTTATTAAATGAACAACATGCCCAGCCCTGTGCTAAGTAAGTGCTTTACAAGCATCATCTTATTGAATCCTTATAACAAGCCTACGAGGAAGACATGCTGTCATTATCCCCATTTTACAGATGTGGAAAGTAAGCCTTAGAGCAATGAAGCAACTTGACCTTGGTCACATAGCCAAGAATTGAGTCCTGCCCCCTGAAAATGAACCACGGAACCTTTTATCCTCTGCCTCTGGGTGAACTGGTACCAGTTACAAATTCCTAGCCACAAGTTCCGTTTCAGCATGCACCCTGCTCCTTCCTCAGCCCCACAGCCCTCCCTGGGGCCCTTTAGTCTACCTGGTTGGTGGTTCTCAACGTGTGCTCCCCGACCAGGAGAATCAGCGTGGTTAGGGATGTAGATGTTCAGGCCCCATTTTATCCCACCCTCCAAACGTAGCGAATCAGAATTCCTGGGGGAGGGGCCCCGCACTCCGGATTTCAAGGAGCCCTGCAGGTGATTGATTCTGAGGCAGCCTTCAGTTTGAGGACCATCGCTCAACGCCAGGCAAATGTCGCAACCCCACCACCCGCCATTCTCTCCCTCTCCCCGTCCAGCCCCCGTTTGCTCTCTGCCCCAAACCTGGAACGGTGCCTGCCCTTCATCTTCGGCTGCCTCATCACTCACCCACCTTTCTGGATCCAACTCAAAGCCAGTCTCTTACAAGAAGCGTCCCCTGATCGATAATGATTATGCCTCATGTTTATATAGCATTTTTGTCTTTCGAAGACCTTTCGCGTGCTCTGTCTCATTTCATCTTCTCAACAACCCTGCCAGGAAGCAGGGAGACTATGATTCCCACTTAACATGTGAGGGGATGCAGCTGAAAGGGCTGAGGAATCCGCCCGAGGACAAAGAGCCGGTTAGGGGGTTGAGCTGGGGCTAGGGCCCAGGCTAATAGCCCTAGGCCATCGGCTCTCAGAGTGTGGCTCCTGGACCAATAGCATCAGCTTCACCTGGGAACCTGTCAGAATGCACATCCTCATCCTGCTCCAGACCCAGAGCAGAAACTCTGGGGATGGAACCCAGCTTCTACATTTCAACAAGCCCTCCACAGACTAGGCTAACTGGTGAGACCCACTTCCCTAGACCCAACGCTGCAGAAACACGGAATGACCTCCCTCTAACCCTCCCAGGACTGTGGTCAGGTTCCCGTGAGGATTTCTGCCGTCCTCTGCAACGGCCACACACCTGTGCTTGTCAGTTTAACTGCCCTGATACAATGCAGTAAGGAACTAGGTATAACTGAAATGTCTAAGTACCCTAATTTTTAGCAGAGTGCATTTCCGTTTATTTGGCTTTAATTGCCCATTTGTTGATGAAATTGCTAACAGCTGGCTGGGTCGGGAACAGTTGCAGTGATGGTGCACTTTCCCCTTTGGCCCCGCTCACTTGCTCTTTATCCAGCCGCTCCACACACGTGTGCCGCGCTCCCGTGGCGAGTGAGAACCCTGCACTGTCCTCCCCTAATCGTGCAGTCCTGTTGGAAGCCGTGCATCCCAAATGTCCATTTTGCATAGGGATCACTTGGGGGGTCTTTTGACAGTGCAGATTCTACCTTAGCTGGGTGGCCCAGGTGGCTGGAGCACCATCCCATACACCAAAAGCCTGTGGCTTCGATTCCCAGTTAGGGCACATACCTAGGTTGCTGGTTCGATCCCTGGTCAGGGTACATACGGGAAGCAACCAATCAATGTTTCTCACATCTATGTTTCCCTCTCTCTCTCTCTCTCTCTGTCTCTCTCTCCCCCCTTCTCCCCCACTCCCTCCCTCCCTCCCTCTCCACCCCCTCCTTCTCTCTCGGAAATCAATAAACATGTCTTTGGGTGAGGATTAAAGAAAAAAGAAGTACAGAAAATGCAGGCTCTGATTCAGCAGGTCTGGGGCAGGACCTGAGAGTTCTAACATGGTCTCAGATGACACTAATGCTGCTGATCCAGAAACCCCGTTGAGTAAATCAATTTGCAAAGCGCTGGTTCCCAGGTAGCAGGGTAGAGACTCAGGTAGCCAAAAAAGAACGGGCGTAGGAGTCCTTAGGGAGAGTGCTGCCACCCTCCCCAGCTGTGTCCCCTGACAGGCCCTGCCTTTCATTCTACATTCAGCAACACTGAACGACCTGCTTGTGATTTCCCTGGACACATCGCTCTCTGTCTCGTCCCTGCCTGGAAGGCTCTTTCCCCTCCATTTCATCTGGCTGAGACTCCTTTAGAAAACCTTTTCTGAATTTCCAATGGTGAAGCGCCCTTCCCCTGGGTCAGGGGCCCCTCTTCTGTGCACCCAGGAGATCCTGTGCATGCTGCCTCAGTCTCATACATGATTGTATGACTGTTGACACATCTGAAGCTCTCAGGACACTGAAGAAAATGGTCCCAAAGAAGAGATCAAGTCAGTGACCAGTTAATCGGAACAGAGTTCTGCTCGTGGGGCCATTGGATAAGAAACAGAAACAAGCAAGAGGGTTGAAGAGCGGAGGTGACAGAGCACTCTGGTTGCCTTGAACTTGGCTGTTTCTCTTGCATCGTTTTCCGTTTACGGCCTGCCTTCAAACTTGACCATATAAGCAACCTAGGAATGAAGACTTGGTCTTAAGTACATTTGTAGCAGACTGCCTTGCACATAGTAAGAGCTCAAGAAGTTCCTAGGATGTGATTAATTAGAGGGAAATGATGTAAAGGTGAGAGGAAAGATAGAAAACTGTTTTAGAAATCATGTGGATCTCCTGGGGGAAAGGAGGCATCCATTGGAGAAATAACATCATTATAATGACGGGCAGAAAGGAGCCTTTCATCGGCCGTGTCTCGGACTACAGAGGAGAGCGACTATAGCAACGAGGAGGATGCAAAGGAAAAAACTAGTTGAGACAGAGTTATAACGGCAGAAACAGTGTAACAGTTCTCCCTATAATGTGGGGACAACAAAGGGATGGAAGAGGGAAGGCGGACCCCTGCATTTCCGAGCCTCTCGCGCTGCCAAAACAGAGGGATGAAGAAGTGTCTGGTGCGAATGGGGGAGGGGGAGGTCTCAGGAATTTGCTTGTCATCTTGGCTGGAGTGAGCTTGAATGGGGGAGCGAGACTGAGAATAATGGGAACTGGTAGATCAATCAATCAGCAAATATTTATTGAGCAGCTACCCTGGCTGGCAGCTGGAGAGAGCTCAGCTGGAGGGAGGCACATTAGAAAATTGTCTCTAAAAAGGTGGTTGTGGGGGGGAGAGAGGGATGTGTTCTTCTGGAACAGGAGAGAAAGAGGAGGGGGTGGTTTCTTTGTGGGACTGCAGGGGGCATCACGCCCTGGGTAGCCCCTGGGAAAGCACGTCAGGGCTGTGCCAGTGCGCACGAGGCCCAGGGAGAAGAACCGACCCCATGAGACAGCTGTGGTCCTGCGAGCGAGCAGGGGGGCGGAGGGGCGGAGCCGCTGGCCCTGTGGGAAGGACCTCAGTGAGCCCAGAGGGGCCTGCTCACCCACACCTCTCCCCTCCCCTCCCTCCTCAGGGCTCCGGACGCTACTCCATCTACATCGCCAACTATGCCTACGGTAACGTGGGCCCCGATGCCCTCATTGAAATGGACCCTGAGGCCAGTGACCTCTCCCGGGGCATTCTGGCGCTCAGAGATGTGGCTGCAGAGGCTGGGGTCAGCAAGTATACAGGTATGCAGGGTGACAGGGAGGCTGCACGCTGGGGGGCTGGGGGGCTGGGGGCCTGGGCGAGGCCGGGTCCAGATCATCAGAGACCACAGGAGAGGGTGGGTCCCTGGGGAGGGAGGATGGAGACTTTATTTCACCCCAGCACCCACAGAAGGCTCCCCCAACGCTGCCTCTCCAAGGGTTGATGGGATACCTGTCAGGTTGGGCTTTAGGAGGCCCCTTAGGGTGCGTGGGACATGGGGTCTGAATCCCATAACGTCGTCCCATCCCTGGAACCTCTCGCCCCATTCCCTGATGTGACCCAAATGATGGGTGAACAGGTTCTGGAGGAGAAAACTGACAAGTCACAACAGCTGAGATTTAAAGAATTCTTTATTGCCAAACAGCAGATGAAATTATTTACTTACACATAAGCAGCCAGGAATTGAGTGCTAGCTAAATCCTTAAGCTTCAGCTGGGTCCCGTCTCAGATAACTGAGCTCAAAGAATTGTGTTCTTGTTCCAAAACCTCTCCAGCACTTTTTTAGAAGGCAAGCTCCCCCCCGCATCTTTCTGGATGGGGGACCTATTGTCAGAGTCTCTGACAGGGAGATCTTTCTAGGGAAGGCTGTTTTTCTAATTCTAGCACGGCTGCTGACTAAACTCTGATCATCTGCCAATAGGCTGCCGATGGCAGAACCGTCCAGTTCCTGTCTGGGGTGCCAGAACTCAGGAAGCCAGGGCTGTGCACATGAACTTCAGCCTCACATGAACGTCAGCTTCATTCATACTGCATCCACCCTTCGGGCTTAGAAATTCTCTCATTGGTTTACCTTCCCACTGTATCCGTCCCAGTGTGCAGTACAGGCTTCCGAAGCGGCAGCCCGCCTGAATCCGAACCCGGGGCTGGGAGGGCACCTCAGGGGTCATTTGGGCTGTCCCCCTGCCTCCAGACACCTAAATGGTGGCATAATCTCAAAGCCCTACACAGAAAGGGTTGTCGCAGCCTCCCCTGAGTTGATGATGCCTTTCTCTGGCCAACTTTCCACGTCGGTGAAAGGAGGAGGCTGATGCTGGCCTGTCTGACTAGTTTGTGGGAGCACATGAGTAGACAATAAATACTTTGCGCAGCTCAAGCCCCATCAAAGCCCTCCAGAGCTGCACACGTGAACGTGTAGCAGAAAGGCTGAGTGTCAGTAATACACTGTGTCTTCCTCAGAAAAGGAATAAGCATTCAGGAGCTTCAGCCTAGGTGTGTACAGTCAGTTTGTTCTGAATAGGTCCCAGGCCTGGGCAGTGGGCTGGCTTGGCAATTAAGTGCCTTGATCTGCAGAAGAAAGAGGGTGGGCTGGGGACGCGTAGCACTTGAAAATGATGAGCCAGAGGGAAGGCGAAGTCTGGGAGAGGGGGTGATACCCAGAATGAAAGAATTCAGAAGGTTGTAGCTGGGTGTGAGCATGAAGGGGACATTGTTCACACCGGCTGGGCTGGCAGCGGGCCTGGTAGGAACCGAGGCGGGGGAGGAGCGGACCAGGAGGAGACAGCTGAGGAGCGGGGACGGGGCTGGGAGCCCCGGCCAACTGTGCCGGGCTGCACTGGAAGGCCTGGGCCGCTCAAGGAAGGGGCACCGCTTCCGTGGAGCACACAGGCAGGCCAGGGCAGCTGGCGTGCCCAGAAGACACGTTAGAGCAGCTCCGCAGACTTCCAAAAGCCATTTGGCTGATGAGAACCTATTTGGCTCACCAAGTTACTAGTGGGTCCGCCCGCCTTCCCCAGCCCACCCTTTCCCTGCCTGCCAAGCACCCCAACTCCATCCTGCAGTCCCTTTTGTCATTCTGTTGACAACTCGTGGACATCTGGTTGGAAAACTCTGAGTCCCTTGAGTCCCGGGAATGGACCCTAGATGTGAGGACCGCCCCCGAGCCCAGCCCGACTGCTGAGGCTCTGGCACGTGGCCAGTGCTGAGCTCCAGGCCAGCACCACAGGGGCTGGGAAAGGTGAGGAAGAGGGCAGTGAGGTGCAGGGCCCTGAGCAGCCTGGGAGGGCAGCAAGCCATGGCCGGATGTGCAGTCAGGGAGCCACAGGTCCCTGGAACCAAGCCACACACAACACCCATCTGCAGAACAGACCTCTGAGCACTCCCATGTTATAAAAGAACAAACAGAGGTCCAGAGACAGAAGGGACCGGCCCAAGGTCACACAGGGTGGTGGAGAGACACCAGCAGTTAGAGCGCCCATCCCCTGATACCTAAATTGCCACAACCAGCTGACCTTTCTGATGACCTCCAGCCTGAGATCCTGCTCCAGCCTGCAAGATGGGAGCGCTGGTGAAGGAGGCCGGCCCTGCCCCCACTGGGAACGCAGCCCCAGGGACGGACACTCAGACTTTCCTTTGCGGCCCAAGCAGGTGCCTGACCTGGGGTGCTCAGGGCAGCCAGGGAGGCCCAGTGACCCCATTGGCAGGCAGGGTGATGGTGCTGCCCACACTGGCTGTCTGCTCCTCCGGAGGGGGAGGGGAGGCCTCCTCTCCAGACAGTCAAGCTGCTGGCAGCGGCTGCTCTCCTGGGTCACAGTGCCATCTAGTGGCCAGCCTGCCCACTCTCTGGGGACTCGAGGGCCCCTGGAGGGCAGCTTTGGGAGAGCCACGGGTACTGAGTTGAACTGAGGCAAGGCTGCTCCCCATGGTTTCTGGTTGGATGAGAATCCCAAACCCTGACTTCCCCAGCTGCCCGCAGCTCCTTGGAGCCTGGAGGGTGCTGGGAACTGCCGTCCATGGGAACCCTGAGAGTCGCTTCTCCCGTGGCAGAGGGCCTGGCATGGAACCCCCAGCGAGGAGGGTGGGGACTAAGCAGACTGCACTGCCTCTGGGGCCCAAGTATCCTTGGGCAAGGCCCTCAGTCCCTGTGAGCACCCTGAACTAGCCATCTACCAAAACGGCTAAGAGGACGGTGTCTGGCGCCAGAGCGCCAGGTGCAGCTCCCACCTCCCCCATGTACTGTCCAGGCCGCAGCGGAGGCAGGATTAGTACCCTCTGTGGGCCTCAGTGTTCTCACCGGCAAAATGGGGGGTGTCGTGAGAATGAAAGGAGGTGAACACGGGGTGTGCCCAGCACAGGACCTAGCACACAGGCGGTGCCCCCCAAGCGTCACCAACAGCAACACCCATCTCCCCTGCGGTCCCAGCAGTGATGCCAGGGCCCCCTCCCGGGCATCTCCTGGGGGAGGGAGTGCCGTGCTGGGCACAGGGGGAGCACGAAGCCTGCAGGCCCAGCCCCCGTCCAGGAGGCCGTCTCTACGTGTCCCACAGCCTGTCCTGCAGCCCTGGACACAAACACAGGCCCCTTCATCCCTGTGTCCCCCTTGGTCCACCTCTCTTCCCTCCTGTCTGACCCTGCCTCGGCCCGAAGCCTGCCCCACCCCAGGACCTCTGCGTCGAGGCCTCACCCTGTGAGGGAGCATCTGTCTGGGCTGCAAGGTGGTGATTAAAGAAGCCTTAAAGGAAATTTGGAAAGAAGATGGAGGTGGAGTCATGAGGTCGGCTGGGAGCAGAGCGAACAAAGCGGAGGGCAGGTCTGATTTACAGGAAGTCATTATCGGAGGAGAAAGAGATGCCCAAAGCCCAGCTGAGGCCTCTGGCAGGCCCCCACCAGCCCGCTCCGGAGAGGTGACAGAGGGCGGCAGAGTGGAGGCTGCGGAGCCTCCCAGCTCCCAAGGCGGGCGCTGGCCTTGCAGCGGGAGCGCGGCCAGATCTGACAGGCGGGAACAGTCAGGCTGGAGCGACAGCCTCCCCCGCCAGGGCCCTGGACCTCTGCCAGGGAGACCCAAAGCCTCAAGACACCCAGGCTCTCAGATGCACTGGATGATTGGCAAGAAGGGACATGACTTTTTTTTTTTACAACAAATGCAGATATGTCATACAACACAAACTCAATCTCAAGACACACTTTCTTAAGCTAAAATAAGAAATTTTAAAGACGTGTCGAGCCCGTGGCTGGCTACTCTGGGCCTCTCCAGAAGTGCAGAAGGCTCCTCTGTGGAGGGGGCGCTTCAGTGGAAGTGCCTGAGAGCACAGTGTGGGGGTGCCCCGGCCCTGGGGGCACTCAGACGCGGGTGTGGACTGTGACCAGTGGTCTGCTGGCCGCCATCGCGCCTCCCCGAGCCTCGGCTTCCTCACCTAGGAAGGGGCGAGGCGAGATGAAACACGTTCAGTTCCTGCCCCACAGGACTGAGCATCAGGCTGCCAGAGGAGCTGTTCCTGCCACTGCTTTACCTGCCTTCTCTCCTGAGACAGTGTTTTCCTGCCCCTCACTGCCTGGGGGGCGGGGTGCACAGTGAGGACCGACTTCCCTCCTGTAAGGCCCTGGGTGCCCACGGCATGGGAACCCCCACCCAGCAGACAAACGCTGGAGCCTGTCCTGCCCACCTGCCATACCCCCCACCCCTTCCGCCCCCCCCACCCCCACCAGCATCCTGCAGGTGCGGGCAGGGAGGAGGGAGGACTGGGGAGCAGTGCACAAGTCCTTGTCTGATGCCCATACGGGGCCCTGCCCGGCATCTGATGGCTCACCGAGGGCTTCGGGGAGGGGGTGGGGACAGGCACCACTGGCACCAACACAGTGTTCCTTTGTGTTAGGACTTCCAGGAAATTTAGAGTTTAAGACCCTGTTGCCATCCTGCCCTGACCCTCACAGCCCCTTCTCCAGCACGCGCACACACACACACACACACACACGTGCGCACTGCCCATTCCTCCACCCCTACATTTTCTAATATCTTTGCTATTCTTTGTCAACACCTTGGACACTCTTGGCAGCCTGCAGGCCCTGGCGTCCACCAGCACCATGTTCCTATCAAGGGCTCAGCAGGCTGCTCTCACAGGTCCTAGTTCCTTGGCCAGCAGGCCTCACCTCCGCCGCGGCCTCCACAGTGCCTGTGTAGGTGGGCCCAGGATGGCCCTCCCAACCACGGCTGTCCTGTGGCCTGCCCTGGCCAGGAGCATGCACTGAGGAGCAGAGATGGAAGGAGCCTTGGAGACCTTCTCGTTCTCCCGCTCATTCACGGGCAGCGAGACCAAAGCCTGGCGAGCACAATTCCCGAGGGCCTGTGGCCAGAGAGGCTGCAGAGGCGGGGCAAGAACCTGGAGGCTTTTCCTTAGTGCAGAGAATCCCCCTGCCTCTTGGTCCCTGGGGCCCAGGCCCACAGTTTGGGGCGGTTCAGCAGCACACACCCTCTTCCCCACAGCCTCACTTTCCCTTCCTCGACCCACCCCCCAACCCCCACACTCCTGGGCACTGGTCCACGTGCAGTCTGAGAGATGGATCACCTGCCCCAAACTGGGCTTGGGTCTGCGTCACCTGAGTGCAGGGGTCAGAGGTGGAGGGGTGTGGTTCTTGCGGGTAAACGAGGCTGCCCCATGGGGCTCTGGCCCAATGAGCAAATCGTCAAAGAGGGTGCCAGAACATGGAAGGAGGGAGGGGGAGCCAAGGGGACACATTTTCCCCAGTAACCCCACCCCTCACACCCAGCCCAGTGGGCGGAGAAGCATTCAGGAAGGGATGGGCAGGGAGCAGTGGTTACACCCAGCAGCAGACCAGGAGGCCTTTGAAGGGATATTATTCACCCAGCAGGTGGGAAATAGTCCCAGCTAATGACTGTGTGGCACCTGACATTTTCAAAGGTACCCTCCAAAAACCAGCTGACTTAATATTTATGACAGCTCTGAGAAAGGGCTATTATTGTTGTCCGTCTTTCTCTGGTGAGAAGACAAGATGCCCGAAAGGTCCAATGGTATATCCAAGGTCACACAGCTTGAACTTTCTCGTCCTCCGTCGTTCCCACCACAAGGGCTGCCCCTCCAGCCCCAGCTGGGGCACTGCTTATCACTGAGAGGCCATGCCTGCCTCCAGTATCTGAGAACTCACTGATGCAAAGTCATGTAGCTTCCTGTTGGGACATCATGCTCCAAGGCCAAATCAGACATTCCTAACTGCCCCCTGAGTAGCCCCATAAGGTGTGTGCTCAAGCCTTGGGGAGGGGGAGATGGAGGGTGACAGAGGAGGGGGGAAGTCTGGGGGAGAGGGGAAGGTCCAGGTAAAAGATACTTGCTGAGTAAGGGGCCTCTGCTGTTGGCCGGGCGGGAATGGGAGTGTCAGGCTGCGCCTAGGGTGGATGGATTGTATTGGTTTGAAGATTTACTCGCTCGCTCTGGGAGAGCCGTCTCCCCTGCAGCGCCAGTGAGGGGTGTGGACACCTGGCCGCCCTGCCTTCGACCCCAGTCTGGCCCCTCCACCTGAGGCTGCGGCGGCTCGTGCCGAGAGGCCAGCTCCCAACTGTCAACTCACCTGCTCCCCGACTGTGCAGCCAATTTGCCAAGAAGGAGTTGTGGGTAACATCTCTGTTATGGTCTGATTGCCATGGCAATAAATTGTCACTAATTAGTAGTGTGGTTACCATGGCAATTTTCTAGTAATTACAGGTTACAAATGGTGCAAGGCTTCAACCCAACCCAATTAGTTAATTAGAAAGATTTAGAAATTTGTCCAAGAGGGAAATAACCTGCTTGGTAGAAAATGAAGGGAATGTGTCACAGCTTGGGAGCCAGAGGCGGAGAGGAAATTGGAAGATGCTGGAGGGGGGAGGAAGGATGGGGTTGGTGGCTGTAAGTCCCAGAGCCCCACCTGGAATTTCCAGAGGCCCAGGCAAGGCCAGCGGTCTCTCGCTAAAGCCTACTACGGAGCTGGAGTCTGGCAGGACCAGGGCAGGGACAGCTGCCAACAGCCACTCAGCCGCTCCTCTTTGAATGGGCAGACGTGGTGCCCAGGTTGTGGCCCAGCACCCTCACTGCTGGCTTTAAAGGAGAGGGGTCCAGAAGCTTCCCGCACCCCACTGTGGCTCTCCTAATGAAAGTGCTTGTTGCATCTTGGGTGATGATCCCCAACAGCGTTTGGGACTCAGTGGCTTCACTTTTACGAGGCTTGGGCTCTCTCTGAGAGCTAATAAAATTTCCCAGGAAGCATCTGGGAGGCACAGGGCCCAGCATGTGTGGAGGAGGAGCCCCCGTGAGAGCAGCAATGCCCTTCGCCCCATCCCTTCCCCTGACCCCAGACACTGGCTCTGGTGGTCAGAGTCCGTTTATTCACTGGGGAAGAAAGGGCCAATGATTTCCTTCAGGGGCCTCTCCCAGAGGGCAGGAGGGGCCTGGCAACCAAGAGAACCCCCACCCCACTTTGGCCCAGTCACCTAGTGGACACCTCTGCGGCACCCAGAGGCCGCTGGCAGGGCGGCGCCTGGCCCAACATCCCTGCCTGAGCTCTCGCTTACTTAAAAAAAAAAATGTACGTTCTTCTGAGAGCTCTGGTAACCATTCCCACAGCACTGAGAAGCAATTTATCACATGCCCCTCAGAGTTCACTGCGCACAGAGACCGCCCAGGGGCCCTGCTGGACTGCACTGCCCGACCAACCCATGGTCAGGGACCTGAGATGTGGCGTGCTGACCAGCTCCCCGGCGCCGGTGCCGCCCTGCGCAGGTCCACCCGCCCGACTCTGAGCACCAGGGCGCTCCGGTCCACAAAGACTTTCAGACCCTCTCCTCGCTTGCTCGCTTGCTTGACCCTCTCAAAGACATGGAAATACCAAAAGCAGGCCACGCTATTCCCATTTTGCAAATGAAGGAGGTGAGGCTAAAAGGGTCACGCGGCCTCGTAAAAAGCCAAGCCAGGGCTAGAATGAATGTCCTGGTCCTGGTCGGGCTGTTTTCTGCGCGAAGTTTCCGGTGTTTGGGGGTGTGGCTTTTCGGGCTGCATCTGAACCCCGCTGGTCCGGGTGCTTCGTTCAAGATGTCTGGAGTTTGGACGCGTTGACATGGGTAGCTCCAAGCTGACCTTGGAGAGACTTCAGGCTGTCATGTAGGTTTGGCTGGATCTTTCTTTAAAAAAAAAAAAATACACTTCACTGGATATTTTCCTTTTAAAATAAAGAAACGATTCTGTTGGAACAAACTAAACAATATGAAGACATTCACAAAAAAAAGGCCACTACCATCGCTTCCTCCCTCCCCAAATCTTAGCTCAGCCAGTAGCCGGGGAAGCCTGGTGTGGCCTCTCTCACGGTTCCCAGCCACAAGAACAAGCTTGCACAAACGTGTTCAGAAATATCACATATTTTTCTTTTTCCTTTTTTTTTTTAAGAAAAGTAAGATCACACAATGTGATTACTTGGCAAATTGCGTTTAATGTAAAACCATGTCATGGGCACTCCCCCAAGTCAATACACGTGTGTCTGTGCCGTCTTCTGAGCAGCTGTAACACGGTTCATCACACAGATGCACCCTAACCCAACGGCCGGTCTCTGCGGATGGTCATGCAGGTTGTTCCCAGCTGCTCACTAGGGCAGTCAAAGCAAGGTAAGCGTCCTTGTACCCATAGCTGGAACCCATTCCTGTCAGTTCCTAGAGCAGGAACGCACCCTGTGTCCTGACCAGCGCACATGTGACTCGGGTGTGGGTAGGGTTGTCAGGGAAATCTGTGACTTGGCCAAGGCATTGTGGGTAGAGCTGGGTTTCGGGATTATCGTAATTTAGCCATCTCCGTGTTCCTCAGCTTGTGGTATCATCCCTCTGGTACAAAGTGACTTGGTCCTGCCCCTCACTTACCTCAACGTCAGTGTGGTCGCCGTCTACACAGATGTGTGGACCTTCAAGCCCAGGTCTGGGCTCAGGGGAGCCTCTGGGAGGTCAGAAGCACCTCTTCCACCCCATCCACAGGTTCTTCAGAGGCACCGTGAGCAAGCTCCTTGCAGGCCTCAGAGGCAGCCACCTCCTCCACGCAGAACTGGGGCTTTGCTTCTGCCACTTACTGAGGGTCCATGTCCTCTCCTAGGCGGCCGAGGTGTCAGCGTGGGCCCCATCCTTAGCAGCAGCGCCTCCGATATCTTCTGCGACAACGAGAATGGGCCCAACTTCCTCTTCCATAACCGGGGTGACGGCACCTTCGTGGACGCGGCAGCCAGCGCTGGTGAGTGCAACCGCTGCCCGAGTCCCTCGGTGCCCAGATCCACAGGGGCTCTGGGCGCCCTGCCCCCTCAAGCATGACCCCCCAGGCCTCCAGGAGAGGCAGCCTCGGCCCCACACAGGGAAACACGGCTTGTCGTCTTCAACCGCACACCCCCCACCACGGCTCAGGCCCAGGGGGTGTTTGCTGCCGGGGAGAGGGAGCCCAGAACTCCTGACTGTTACTCGTTTTCCAGCAACTGGACCTGGCCCATGTCCCCCTGAGTCCTGCTTGAGTCCCAGCATCAACTCCCCCCGCAAGCTTCCTCCCTCCATTTCCCCTCCCCACGTGGATCTCAAGCATTCCGTTCAATCCAGTCACCGTTCTGGATTGAGCTCCTGCGAACTGCCAGGCTGGTGCTAACAGCTGGGAGTGCTGACCTGAATGATGTTAAGACCATGCTAGCCGCCCCTTTCACACACTCACAACTTTCTGGAAGGGGAAACAAAGAAACAAATCGCTATAATAAGAAAGGGGATAAAATTCACTCAAAATAGCACTCTAGCTCCCAGCTCTGCTCCCCCTTCTCCCTTTGTGCTCCGCCCTTATCTGCCTCAGGGCCTTTGCACCTGCTGTTCTCTCTGCCTGAAGTGCACCTCCCCCTTCTCTGTCTGCAGAACTTATTACCCTTCAACACTCAACTCACGAGTTATCTGTGAAGACTCCCCTCCTCCCTCTGTGCCATGGGGCAGAGATTGGCCCCCTCCTCTGTGTTCCCACTGCCCTTGCACGTACCTGTCACTTGGGCTTCTACATTGCTCTCACACCTCTCCATGTCTACAAGGACTGAGCTCTGTTCTATTCACTCTCGACACAATGCTTGGCATGCAGTGGTCACCCAGCAACTTTTGCTGAATGACAGAATGGACACGATAAAAGTTGATGGACTCAGTCAGTCTGCCCTTCCACCACTTCTCCCTACCCAGGCTCCACCCACCTTGCCAGTGAATGAAAGGTTTAATTTCATCTCCTTCCTGGTGGCCTAGAGACACACTCTGGCCTCCGGAAGAAGAGATGAGCAGGGGCCTAGAGACGTAGATCAAAGGTCCTATGGGCTCCAGCTGGTGCCGGCAGGAACATCAAATCCCTGAGCGGGCGTCCACCCGGTCTGTGACATACGAGTGCCTCCTCCCAGCTCTCTGCTCAGAGTTCCCGTCTGAGCACCCACTCCCCTCCCCCCACACACACACTTGTAACCAGGCAGCTCCCCTGGCTGGTCCTCCCCACAGCTTGCCCCTCCTAGAGCTATATACTCTGGCAGCAAATTTTCTCATTGCTGAAAAATCATAAGATGAAGGCGAGGTGGTGGTGGAGAGAACCTAGAGGATTTGATAAGGTGTTAAAGAGATGGAAGCAGAGGTGAGCGAGCGGGTTGGAGTGGGAGAAGGTATCAGGCGGGAGGAGAGAGGAAAGGTGCGAGGCCCATAATTGAAAGTCAGAACGATTGCAGGGGTTTAACAAGACATGTCAAGAGGGCATTCATCACCCAAACAGATGCTGCCGTGAAATGCAGCCTGGTGCCGATTACTCCCGTGAAAGCGAACCAGCTCCTTGTCACGGCGCCTCGTAGGTAGGAGAGAAATGGGCCAACACAAAAGGCCACCGGCATCAGGGCTGGGGAGTTTTGTGGAGAATTAATGGGTTATTAATCCTAGAGGCTGGAAGTCACCCCCATTTCTTTGCAAACCTTCTTTCTCAAGCCTGGGTCTCCCTGCCTCTCCTCCCCCATCTCCCACCCCCATCCTTTAGACCCTCTCCTCCCCCAGGTGGATGCTCAGCCTCCAAGGTTCTTGGGTGGAGGGGGGCACCCCTGCCTTCTCCTGACTCCCATCCTCAGGGCCTCCATGTTTGCAGCTGCCAAGAGCTCCCTGTGCCCCAGGGTCTGTGATCCCCACTCCGCGTTACATTGTCCTGTTGTCTGCCACCTCTGAGGGTCTGGTGACCAATGGCAGTCTGTCGTCTGAAAAGAATCAGTGTGGCTACTTAGCCACACCCACCCCCTCTCAGGTCTGTGCTTGGGCCGAGGGAAATGCCCACCTTGGGCAGCCCGGCCGTCAGGCCGTCCCTTTGGGCAAAGCCACCCTCTACCCTCCCTCAGGACCAGCTCAGTCCCACTGGCCACTAGCAGATTGGGGGACAGCGTGACCAGGTAACATTGGACACATGAGCTTCCCTTCCTAGATCGTGCAAGACACGCTCTTGGTTTCTGTCATGGTGCGGTATTTCCTCTGCTGTCACCAACGCCCCCATTTGCCTTCTGGTAAATTATTTATGTCTCTTTATTTATTCAGTAAGTATTTACTGAAAACTACCAAGTCACCACAGGCACTGAGATAGATGCTGTGCGAACAAAGGTGAATAAGAAGGCAGTCCCTGACCTCATGGAGCCTGAGGTCCAGTAGGAAAAGTGACCCTGAGCAACGAAACCCCAGGGGAACATAATTATGCATATGATCTGCACCATGAACAGAAAGAAGGGGGGCGCTGTCAGGGTGAATTCCAGGGCCGGTGGGAGGGGCTGTTTTCATGGGAGTGGTCAGGGAAGGCTTCCCTGAGGAGGTGACTGGGTGGCTAATAGAATTAAAACAAGGAGCCAGGGAACCAAGAGCCGGAGAAGAGCATTCCACGAGGAGAGAGGGGCTTGAGCAAAGACCCAGAGCCAGAAAGAGCTTGGTTCGTTTGAGGAATGAGAAAAACACAGGAGCCAGTGCTGATGAGTGGGAGCAATGGAGGGGCCAGAGAAAAACCAGGTGTGGTGGGCGGGGACCCTGACCTCCCCAGGGAGCAATTTTGGACTTGACCCAAGAGTGCTGAGGAGCCACTGAGAGATTCAAGCAAAAGCTGCTGATTGATTTAATGCGTGGGGGTGGCTGGGGAGCGCTTCAGTCCTCTAGAGCTTTTGCTAGTCTCCCTGCTCCCCATGCTAACATGCTAACCCCCGAACTGAGTAAACACAATGTGCTTGCTGGGCAAGCGAGGCTGGAAGAGGAGTTTCCAGCTCCTTCTGCAGCTGGATGGCTGTCCCCCCTCCCACCCCAGTGGGAAGATTCAGAGTCTGCAGCTGTGTCTCCCCACCTGCTCCCAGGAGGGCAGGGACAGTAGGGTGTCACCCCCTCTTATTGTTCTTTGTGGGGCCCCAGCCAGGTGAGTGTTTCTGGAGCCTGCAAGGGCACTGACCTGAGGGCCCCCGCCTTTCCCCCAAGGTGTGGATGACCCCCACCAGCACGGGCGAGGTGTTGCCCTGGCGGACTTCAACCGTGATGGCAAGGTGGACATTGTCTACGGCAACTGGAACGGCCCCCACCGCCTCTACCTGCAGATGACCGTCCACGGGAAGGTCCGCTTTCGGGTAAGAAGGGGTCTCTGCCTCCCACTGCCCTCCCTCCCCACCCCTGCACTGTGAGTGGCCCTGGCAGGTCCTGGGTGCCTCCCCCCAGACTGAGAAGGAGCTGTGGCTCTGCAGAGCCTGGGAACGGGGGTGGGGAGACACAAGGAAGGTCTTGTAACATCTTGGGGCAAGGAGGGACTGCAGCCTGGGCTGCTGTGACATCTCTAGTGGCCGGAGCAGAGAGAGCCAGTGGCAGAGGAGAGCCAGCAGCCCCAGAAGGTGGGCAGAGCCAAGGAGATTCTGTGACAGGCGTGTCATTCTCTGGATGGTAGCATTTTTCCTGATGGCTCTTGGAAAACCTGATCTGAGCAAATTGAGGTTCCCGCCAAGGGTACAGTGGGGAGTGGGAGTGTGGGCGAATTGAGGCCACAGAGATCCAACAGCTGCCCCCTAGGGACAAATGGCAGAGCGGGGACAAACCCCTCTCTATGCCCCCGATTTGAGCTGCCAGTAGACTGTGATGCCAAGAATTCTTCAAAGGGGCTGCTTGGTGACAGTAATGGAGGTGCTGCCAGCCTGGCGAGCCTTAGTTTGGGGCTCTCTCACAAAGGACAGTGGAGGATAATAGCTGGTCAGAGCTGATCTTGGGGAGTCGGGCTTATTCTGGAGTACCTACCTGGGTCTTGCCAAAAACCTCTAAGGGACTGACAAAGTTCCAGCATTTGCCTGAGGTTGGATGGTGCCGGGGAAGTCTCCAGGAACCTTGTGGCTAAGCGACTGCCCCCGGCCACCGCCTCGGGGTGCTCAGGCCCAGCTGCTCGCTCCCCGCAGGGGCTGGGGGCCAGGCTCTCTGGGTGCGGGGGAGCCATGCCCTGAACTCGGAGCCTCTGATCATGGGATTTGGGGGATTTTCATCTTTTATTCAGGTTTTTGTTCTAACCCAAGCTCTCAACCAGCAACAGTCTTGCCCCCACTCAGAGACGCTGGACACAGTCTTCTCTGTTGTCACCGATGGGATAGAGGGTACTGCCAGCAGCCAGTGTGCAGAGGCCGGGGTGCTGCTAAACATCCCACAATGTGCGGGACAGCCCCACAGCCGAGAACGATCCAGCCCCGATGCCATGTGCCAAGGTCAAGGAGCCCGCTAACCTTCCCGATGGCGCCTCCCCAGAGCTCACAGGGGCAATAATAATAATAGTAATAGATGCCCCATTTATCAAGTGCCTTCCGTGTGCCAGGAACTGCGCTAAGCACTTTACATACATTATCTTGGAAGCCCAGGCGTCCAGTGGGGCAACCCCAGGGGGACTATGCAGGTTTCCGTTTTTTACAGGATCAATAGCTTAATGATGAGTTAGAGATCGTGGGGCCTTTGTTCCCCAGCTCTTAAAGCCCTGCTCAGCCCTCCCCGGCCAGCTGGCTGGGCTCCTCAACAGCTTCATTTCTGCGCTGATAGGGACAACCTCCCTCCTCGGCCTCCCCAAAACAGGCAGCTCACCAGCTGCCCCAGGGTGGCTCATTCCTGCAGCCAATGGACAGGGCCTGCAGTACAAGGCCAGGGGCAAAGCCAGGTCAAAGAGCAGACAGATACTCCCCAAAAGACCACTGTGCCCTTCCCAGCCCCTCCGCACGGGCCCTGGGACTCAGACAGGCTCTCAGGGGTCTGCAGGTCCCTCTGCACCACTCTCCCTCTGTTCCAAAGGCCAGTCCCACCCCTGTGACCCTTTGCTAGGTCCACTGAAGCCCTGTCCACACTTTGGGGTCCCCCCTGAGCCCTGTACAAGCACCTCTACAACCTCCCAAAGCAAGCTTTTAAAAAAAAAAAATCAAAAGACTCTCAAGAAACAGTATAAGGTAACAGAGGCAAAAACACAGCCAGAGGTGGCCTCTGCCACCTTCCATGAGGCAGAGAGCAGGGGCAAGGCCAGGACAGACTGCCAATGATCTATCTCATGCCCACTCTGTGCCAAGCATTTTACATGCAGTCCTCACAACCTGGGCCACTGTTACTATGCCCATGTTACTGATGAGGAAAGTGAGATCCGAGAGGTTCAATAACTTGCCTGAGATCACATAGCTCATCAGTAGAGAAGTCTGGATTCCAGTACACAGCCCTTTCCTGTATCTACCCAGCTACACAGCTTCTGACTCTCACTAAGGAGTAAGGACATGTGCTAGAAAGGGCGATGCGTCTGGAATCAGAAGCCCTGGCTATGGCCCTGCTCCTTAGCTGTGACTCGGGCAACTCCCCTCCCTCTCCAGGACTCAGTTACCTCACCTGTAAAATGGGAGAGCTAATGTCTGTGCTTCCTCACGTGATGGATGGGAGAGCCACGTGTGACCCCAAGTAGGGACAGCCACGTGCTTCCCTGGTGTGGACTGGGACGGCTCCTCTTCCGGGCTGTCTCGTCTTTGACCGCACGCGAACACAGCGGGGATCGGCATCTCACCCACTCCCGCCCTCCCGCGTGCGTGCCTGCCTGCTGACCCGCAGTCCTCTCTCCTCCCAGGACATCGCCTCACCCAAGTTCTCCATGCCCTCCCCCGTCCGCACAGTCATCGCCGCCGACTTCGACAATGACCAGGAGCTAGAGATCTTCTTCAACAACTTCGCCCACCGAAGCTCATCGGCCAACCGCCTCTTCCGGTAGACGCTCCAGCTTGGCTCATGCCCACTCGCCCTTGACGGTGGGGTAGGGCAGGAACGTGTAGAATCTCGGGGGCGGGGGGAGTTCCCAGGGCTGAGGGGGAAGAAGGCACCCTGATGAAGGAGCAGAAAGGAGGGAAGAACAGAGATTGAGTGAGAGGCTGTGGGCATGGGGCGTGAATTCTGGGTAGGAAGCGGGCCTCCTGGTGTTGGGGGTGGGTAGTGGGCAGAGGGGGTGTGGCCCAAAGTGTCCCCAGAAGCCCAGCCCCGCGGGATAGAAATCCCACCACCACAAACAGCCGTTACAGAGCCCAGCCTGCTCAGGTGCAGCTGGGTGCAGCGAACACAGGCGGGCTGATTGGCTGCAGGGCCTCTTTAAGTGACCGTAAGTATTTTTACCTCCCAAAAGGTAGATGGAACATCCCAAATAAATTTGACCACGAGACATTTTTTTCAAAGATTTTTATCTTGGGTCTGGTGCTCTGCGCCTTTGGGAAATGCTGGATGACCTGATCAATGGTGGACAAGTACACGGGAGTAACCGAGTGGGAAAAACCCACAAGCGCCTGGGCTTGGGTCCGGGGAGGGAGGACTGGGTTCGGAGGCAGCGCTTTTCCGAGAGGGGTCGGGAGACCGCTGGCATCGGAACCACCCAGAGCGCTTCCTTCAAGTCGAGCCCCAGGCCCAGCTTGCGCTCCTGAGCCAGAATCTTGGGAGGCAGGGCCCGGGAAGCCATTTTTAACAAGCGCATTAGGCAGCAGGCGTAAAGTCTGAGAACCACTGTTGGGGGGCAGCCCTCAGAACCTGCGTGGCCTGCGATGGCCCTGCTCCTGGTGTGAAGCATGCTGAGGGCGCTCGGGGCTCGGGCCAGGTGGGGAGAAGAGGGTCGGCCACGGGGCACAGGCCAGATCACCTGTCGGGCTCCCCCAGATCCTCACCCCCTCCTCCAGGAGGGCCCCAACTATTAATAAAAGGGGAGAGCTGAGACTAAGCATGTTTAAAATATAATTATTAACAAAGCATCAATCCTGACTGAATGTAATCACCCCCCGAAGGCACCAGATTTACTAATTAGGTGCCTTGCAAAAAGCTTATTCACAACTTCCAGATTAATTGAGGAAGATCAATTGCTCGTTAACAGAGACACTGCCTTCCTTCTCCGGCTAATAAAGTGTCACTTGCCAGGGTCCCTAATCACCAAGGAGTCCAGTGCTCTCATCTCTGTGGTCCAAGAACCCCTGTCCACCTCCCCTTCAGGCACCTCCCCTGTCCACCTGCCCGCCTGCCTGGCCCCCGTCAAACCTCCATCTCCCTCTGGGCCACCCCAAGGGCTGTCTGGCACAGAGCTGTCCTGAGTGTCACGATGAAGTTGCCCCCAAGTCAGTGTGTTTGCTTCTGCGCAGCAGCAGTGGAAGCTACTTCCCAGGTGCGTGACTGTGCCCCGAGTCCCTGTGGCAGATGGCTGGGTCGTGAGCATGCAACTGAGGCCCCCACATAGCCAGCAGCTCTGCGAGTTCAGCACCCGCCTGTCCCAGTCCCTGAATGGAACATGGTGGGCTCCTTGTAGGAGGCACTGTGCTTGAATCTGCAAGTCCTACAGCAACGCCTCGGCCGACCAGAGAACGCGCTGCCCAAACTGGATGCTTAGTGAGAGTGTAAGGGGGCCCCATTGATAATGGCAGTACAACAGGCATCAGCTGGGACACGCACGGTCACGCAAGGCATCCATCTAAACGCCTCCGATCCGTTCTCATCTCTCCACCCCATGCCACCCCCGTGCTCTCTCTAGTGGATTCCTGTGCCCACCTCCCGCCGCCTCCCGCCGCTTCCCTGTGACTAGTCCCACAGAGCAAACCTGGCCACATGCCTCTTCCACTTCAAACCTCTCACAAGCCTTCTCTTTGACACATCCCACAGCTACCAGTTTTGTCCCTAGCCTCCACGCTCCCCACTTCCCCGGCTTCTTTCATCTCTGGGCTGTGCCAGGCTTGGACCCCCATGGTGCCCACACCCTCTGCCTTGCTGCTCCCTCCTCATCTGGATGAGCTTACCCAGCTCTGCCCGCCCCTCGGCCCCACTCTCCCTGCCGGCCTTCAGCACCCTGCCTGAGATTCCCTGTCATCAGGGATCCTGAGCTCCTTTCTTCCTCATGCTCACCATAGCCACAGGCTCCGGTACACAAGTTGCTGCGGAAGAACTTGTTCAGCGAATACATACATGCGGTAGAACCGCTGGGCTTTATCCTTATGAACCCTTAACTGCCTTGTCACCAGAGCCAAGAGGTATCTCTGCCCATCTGTGACAGAGTCTGCAGGACCTGAGTGGTCGAAGGGACGGGGTATTGGCAGGCTGAGGCGTACACACCTCCAGCAAGTGTGCACACAGCCAAGTGCAACCAAGCACACTGTCCACTGCCCAGACTGCACACGTGGGTGTGCTGGGCACAGGTGCCCCGTGTGGACAGAGGACATCTCTCAGGGCATCTGCTCAACCCCATAGACACCCTGCAGTTCTGCCAACACTCTCTGCCATCCAGCCCCCATAGGCTCCAGCTCAGTGGACACCAGGCTCCTCCTGAAAGCACTAGCCACATCGCAGTCCTCTGGTGACTCTGCGATTTGGACGGACAACAGCCACCTGTAGTGTGTGGGGGAGGGATACAGATGCGCCCTGGCCTCTGTCTGCTCCCAGCATTGCTCCACACATTGAGGGCAGAGCCCCCATGGCTGAAACATCTAACAAGTGAGAAAAATTAGAGGGAGAGCTCACGGCCATCAGAAGCAGTCAGCTCAGTGTAGAGAAAGAACAGGACTTTCACAGTGGACTTTGCTGGAGCAAATATCACTGTGATTCAGAGTTCAAAATAGACAGAAGCCCTGCAGCCCAAAGGGACCCCTTCCCTCCCTTTGCCTTTGGAATTCATCCATGCATCCCACAGACATGTGCTTGGAGCTCTCCAAAAGCCAGGCACTATGTTAGATGCTGTGGAGATGCAAAGATGAATAATACATGGCCCCAGCCTGCAAAGAGCTCACAGCCTAACTGGGAAGATAAGGCGCATTTATACAGAGCTTTTACCCAGGCAGAAAGTGATAAAGGCCAGACAAGTGATAAAGGCAGAGCAGCAAGGCATTGCCTCTAGCAGGACGACCAGGGAGAACTTGGGGGATGTGGCATTTGACTGGGGTTTGAACCCTGGGTACCACCCAGAACTTGGAAACAGGGCCACTTGAAGGAAAGTAAAGGTCACTTGAAGGTAGCTGTGTCCTTGTCCCTTCCCCATCCATCAGCTGGCCTTCCCCAGACTGTCTATAATTCATCCATTAGAGAAGGAAAAATCAATACTTACCTACGTAAATTAAAACCCAAGAAGAGAACAGGCAGGGTGTAGACAGGGTCTGTGGACAGAGTGGCTCACAGGCAGGCGGGTTGCAGCCCACGAGCAGGGGGACCCAGGATGCTCAAGGCACAGAGCGTGGAGTGAGCCCTTAGGTCTCTAGGTCCAGGGGCACCCTGGGGCCTCCCCAGCTGGTTACTGCTCCACGAACGGCCTGTCTCTTCTCCAACAGCGTCATCCGCAGGGAACACGGCGACCCCCTCATTGAGGAGCTCAACCCTGGAGATGCCTTGGAGCCTGAGGGCCGGGGCACAGGTGAGGCACCTGAGGGCTCGCCTGCCCTCTCCCACCTCAGTGCTGCCCATGCCCTGGGAGGAGGGCGGGAAGGATGGGGCAGTCTGTCCCACCACAAGGCACTGCCAGTCCCTCCCGCTCTGAGGGCTAAGGCCTAGGGCAGGAGAAGGGGGAGTTCCTGAGAGAGCCAGGCAGGAAGCAGAGGAGGGATGGGTGGTCTAGTCTCCCAGTCCCAGGGTGGCTGAGGATGGGGCTGGGGCTGTGGCCCAGGGTCTGTGGGCAGTTGCTTCTCTGGCAATGTCTTGATGGGTGGGGTTGGAAAGGAGAGGTTGGGCGTCCTGAAGTCTAACCCCTCCCCTCTTGGCACTCAGCCTGGTGTCGAAGAAAGAGCACTGGGTTAGGAGTCCCAAGACCTAGTCCTGCCATTGCCTCGCTGGTGGTCTTGGAAAAGTTACTTCCTCTGGGTCTTGTTCTCCACGTCTGTTAAATGGGGGCAATTACGCCTGTCCTCCTTGCCTCTATGGGGTGTGGTGAGGACCCAGAGGAGACCATGTGTGTGCAGACATTTGGTAGGTTGGCGAAAACTGTGCAAATATAAAAAGCGTGTATAATATAAAGACCAGAACAAAGTCCTCGAGGTCTGAAGAATTAGCGCCCACCATAGCTCCCATTAGATGTCCCGGGAAGGAAAGGGAACCCCTTTTCGGTGAAATTCTATCATGGGATGGCTGTTACAAAGGGGTGCAGCGGGGGTCCCAGCCTGGGTCTCCCGCCCCAGCACCTCCCCCACTCTGGGCTGTGGACTGCGGTGCCGGGGAGAGGCCCCACGCCCGCGGGTCTCCGGGCCAGCGGCCAGCGGCCAGAACAGGTGTGCGTTTTTGCAGGGGGTGTGGTGACAGACTTCGATGGAGATGGGATGCTGGACCTCATCTTGTCCCACGGAGAGTCCATGGCTCAGCCGCTGTCCGTCTTCCGGGGGAATCAGGTGTGCGGGGAGCTCGGGAACCACGAAGCCCAGCCTGGCGCGGTCCCCTGGGCCGGGGTGGGTGGGAGCAGAGGAGCCCAGATTCGGCCTGACAAATGGACACGCAAGGCCTGGAGGAAGCAAAAGAAAACGTGCCAGCAGCACGGCAACCCTCCCGCAGGGCCTCCCAGGAGAAACCCTCCGCCCCTGCGGCTTCGGGGGCTCTTCCTCAGAGACTGTTCTTTCGGAGTCTGCCGGCTTCCCTCCCCCTTTCCAGCGTTTTCCTTCTCCTCTCCCTTCCCTCTGCCCCCTTTCTTCTCTTCCTTTCTCTCCCCCTCCCCGTCTCCTGCCCTGGGTCCCCGCTCCTCCACCCACCCCGCTGATGCCGGCCTGCCCTCTCCCCTCCCCACAGGGCTTCAGCAACAACTGGCTCCGAGTGGTGCCGCGGACCCGGTTTGGGGCCTTCGCCAGGGGGGCGAAGGTCGTGCTCTACACCAAGAAGAGCGGGGCCCACCTGAGGATCATCGACGGGGGCTCGGGCTACCTGTGCGAGATGGAGCCCGTGGCGCACTTCGGCCTGGGTGAGTGGAGCCAGGGGAGAGGTGGGCGGGGAGCTGCTGGCGGACAGTGGGTCCTGAAACCGCCCCTGGCATCATGCGGAGGGATGCAGGACTCACAGCTCAAGCATCTTCCCGGCACCACGTCGTTGCGACAGACAGCTGTGGCAGACGCCAGCTGTTGGGGGCCACGCTGCTCTGAGATGAACCTGACCTCAGGAAGGCGTTTTTGTGTGCCCTGCCCCTTCCAGGGGTCCCAGCCTTGCTGCCTCTGTCAAATTATTCACCTTGGGGTCAAAGTATTTAATTCTCCACCTGTCTGGGCTGTTGCCTTGTTCTTCACACAGTGGCCTACACCAGTCTTATCCACCCCGGCTACCGCCCGGGCCTCTTGAGAGTTGGCTCTGTGATTAAAGTGTCTCACCAAGCCCCTGGTGACAATAGCAAACTCTGGCAAGGATGGAAAGAAGCTAGATCTCTCCGACATTGCTCATGGGAATGTACAATGGTACAGCTATCCTGGAAAATACCTTGGCAGTTCTTTTAAAACCCTAAACGTACAACTACTATCAGACCCAGCAATTGCCCTCCTGGGCATTCATCCCACTTGAATGAAAACTTATGTCCGAAAAAAAATCCATACAAGGTGGTTCGTGGCAGCTTTCTCAGTGATAACCCGAACCGGAAACAACCTGGATGCCCTTCAGTAGGTTAACGGCCCGACTAACTGGGGCCTGTCCGCACCTCAGACTGTCACTCAGCAGTGAGGAGGGATGAACTGTTGAACACAGGGCCTGGATAGCTCTCGAGGGCACCATGGTGTGGGGGGACAGGCCGATCTCAAAACGTCACATACTGTTGGCTCCATTTACACAGCATTCTCCAAATGACAGAACTGTAGGGACAGGACACAGATCAGGGGCTGCTGGGGTAGGAAGGGTGGAAAGGAGAGGGGGCAGCCCGAGGGGGGCCCTGGTGGTGACGGAGCGGCTCTGTGTTCGACTGTGGTTGCGGCTGCACGGGTCTGCATGTGTGATGACAGGACAGAGAGCCACCCACACAGCTTGTGCCGACATCTGTTTTCTGGTTCGACCTTGTACTGTTAGTTCTGGAACATGTAACCACTGGGGGAAACCCAATGAAAGGTATACAGGATCTCTCAGTACTATCTTTACAACTTCCTGTGAATCTACAGTTATTTCAAAATGAACCATTTTTAAAGAAATATATTGCCCTGGCTGGTGTGGCTCAGTGGATTAAGTACCAGCCTGTGAACCAAAGGGTCGCTGGTTCAATTCCCACTCAGACCATATGCCTGGGCTGCAGGCCAGGTCCCCAGTGTGGGGTGCACAAGAGGCAACCACACATTGATGTTCTCTCCCTCTCTTTCTCCTTCCCTTCCCCTCTGTCTAAAAAATAAATAAAAATTTTAAAAATATATATTGAGGGATGGAATTAGGAAAATAAAAATCTAAAATGGCTTCTTGAGGAGGAGGTGCAGTAATGGAAAAATCGTTGAAAAACACTGAGGGAAGTGGAGATCCAAGAGTGTCTTTACCAAAGCACAATGGTTAAGAAAGCATTTGAGCCCTGGCTGATGTGGCTCAGTGGACTGAATGCCGGCCTGAGAACTGAAAGGTCGCCGGTTTGATTCCCAGTCGGAGCACATGCCTGAGTTGTGGGCCAGGTCCCCAGCTGCGGGCATGTGAGAGGCAACCAATTGGTGTATCTCTCACATATGGATGTTTCTCTCCTTCTATTTCTCCTTCCCTTCCACTCTCTCTAAAAGTAAATAAATAAAATCTTTTTAAAATATATTCTTTTAAAAAAGAAAGCATTTGAATTGAATACATGTAAGTTCAAAATCAGACACCCTCCCTCACCTCTTGAGGTCATACAGAGGTCACATAAAAAGATAGGCAATGTACTCTCAAATTAATAAACACCTACATATACGAGTATGTTCATATTATTCACATAGCCTATGCACATAGGAAAAACTGGAAGAAAATGCAAAACGTGTGCACAGGCATTTTCTGAGTGGCTGGGCTGATGTGGTCACTCTTGCTCATTGTAGGCACAGTGGGACTTTACTCTTACTACTCACGCCACCCTCAGGACCGCCCTGTGAGGTGAGTGCTATTTCCCCCCATTTACAAATGGGAAGGCTGATTAGGAATCCTGCTCAGCCGAGACCACAGAGTAAGTAAATGGCAGAGACGGGATTCAAATCCAGACCTGCCTGAGAGTGGGATTTTTATTTTCTTCCATATGGTTTCTTATGTGTTTTACAAGGAAACACATTTTATAGGAAACACATAATTTTTATGCAATCTGAAAAAGAAGCATAAATATTTAGGGCACCCAAGGCCAGGTTATAGGAGCACGTTCTTGGGCAATTTCACCCTGCATGGGTCGGCCTGGGATCGGAGCTTTTATCACTGTTAAGGCAGCCGTTTGCTGTGCTGGCCCCGTAAGTACGAGATGGCTTTTACATACATAGTCCTCTCCTGCAGAACAGCAGCAGCCAGCATGGACTGAGCACTCAGTACGTGCCGGGTGCTGGGCTAAGGGCCTCACATGAATACCACCTTCTTTTGTCACCATAACATGATGAGTCATTAACCGCATTTCTCAGGTCAGGAATTTGAGGCTCAGGTTAAGCAACCTGCTGCAATCACACCTTGAGAAAGTAGGGAGGGCTGGATTTGGGCCCCAACTTTTGAGACACTGCAGTCTGAGATCTTGGCCACTGTGACTTGACTACTTGACCTTCTACAGCTGCTCTGTGTGGAGCCAGCCTAGGTCACCCTGCTTTGCCTCCTGCTGCTTGGACATCCCCTCAGTTACCAGGTGACCCAAGTGGGATCGTCCAAGCACCCAGGCAACTGCCATGGTATCGTAGGTGGGATGTTGGTTCATTCAGGAGCCAGGCTGGGCATCAACCCTCACCCCATTGTACAGCTCAGGGAATTGAGACTCACATAGAGAATCAGTGGGGAGGCCAGGACTAGGGCTGGTTCTCCTTCCCCACATCCCATGGACTAACCTCTGCTATTTTAAGACATATTATTATGGGTGTCACTGGGTTTCTTCCCTGGCCAGGATCTGCCCTTCCAAGGGAACAGACCTGCTCTGCAACTGGGCAGGCTCAGCCAGGTCACCTGGTGGGACCACGGGGCCCCAGAGCCTCTGTGACTCTTTATGACTGTCTGCTTCCCATGCTCAGGATGACAGATGATACGTCTCGCTGGAGCCCTTCCTGACTGCCAGTCCTTGATTTTGCAAGCCATGGGTTTTGTTCTGAGTCTGAACTCTGGCTCAAACTGCTCCATGAGTCCCCCTGCACACACACTCCTCTCTATTGCCAGAATCCACTCCCAGAAGGCACTGAAGGAAGGCGGCTCTTGGAGACTGGCCCTTTGGAAAGGAAGGCAGTGAGAATCCCCAAGGCAGCTCAGCAGGCCATGGGGCCAATAGCCTGGGGCACAGCGAGGGCCAGGAGGCTCCATCGCTGCAGCTGCAAGACTCCAACATTCGGGAGGATCTTCTTCATGGACCCAGCATAGCACAGGCCCTCCCAATCAATGGGGCAGGGAGAGAAGGAGCTGGTGGGAAAGGGTGGATGAAAGGAAGGGTTCAGCAGAGAGAACAGGGTGGAGATAGACTGAGACAGGGCCTGGGGGAGACCAAGAGACACAGAGAAACCTGAAAAAAAAAGATTAGACAGAGAGGAAATGCTCCCTGCCCTCCAGCCTCACCGCCCAGTGAAAGAGGTGGTAGACGCAGGAACTTGGTGCGAGCAGAATTGACTGTGCCGTCACCCTGGCCCAGCGGCCGTGAGAAGACCGGGAAAGGGCGCTTTAGTTTTGCTCTGGGAAGCTTTCCCAAGAAAGTGGGCCCAGAACTAGCTCTAAAAGGATGGTAGGGGTTTGGAAGGCATGGATAGGGGGCTACAGAGAGCATTGCAGGAGCTGTGCTGGCTTGAACAAAGGCCCAGAGAAAGGGTGCCCAGTGTGTCCCCAGAATGGGAATGGTCTGGTGGGGGTGGGGCCTGGAGGGGAGGCAGGACTAAACTGTTGGGGCCCCCAGAGCCAGGCTGAGAGGGCAGGTGGAACGGAGAGGCCTGGAGAGCCAGGAAAGCCCAAGCCAGTCCTCCCCGGGCAAGGGTAGGGCTCAGAGGGAGCCCAGGGGCCACCAGCAGGGGTACCAGTGTTTGTCGTCTGTGTCCGACTTAGTTCCCAGTGTAATGCCCTCTAGGTCCACCCATGGTGTCGCAAATGGCAAGATTTCATTTTTTATTGTTGAATAATGTTCCATTGTATTTATATGCTACATCTTCTTTATCCATTCATCTGTTGCTGGACATCTAGTTTGCTTCTGTCTCTCGGCCATGGGAAATAATGCACAGTGAACTGCAGCAGTGGGGGTGCATAGGCAGGGTCTGGCACAAATACCACCCCTTTTTATTACTAAATCTCTTATTACAAAATCATAAGCATGTCATTCTGTAACATCACACTCAAGCACACCATATAACATTTTAGGTAAAGTGTTCAAAGTAAAACTATAAATTATTACACCCATAGTATTACCCTCCCAACCACACTCACGCAGGCATGACTTCCGCCGGGCCCTGTGTTCTTTTGAATTTGTATTGTTTTCTGTACGTACCCAGAAGTGGAATTTCTGGATCGTATGGCAGCTCTATTTTTAATTTTTGATGCACGGTATTTCATTGTGTGGCAGCAGTCATAACTCATCTAGCAGGTCCCCTTCTGAAGAGCAGTTCGACGGTTTCTAGTCCTGAGCAGTCGATCTTGGGGTGTTTGGGGTGAGACGGGGTGTGTCCAAGACGTGAGTGCAAGACACTCTTGCCTTGAAGGTCTGACTTACTGAGAATAGATGCGGGGCCTGAAGTCGTGCTGGAGACAGGGGCCCCTGCAGGGAGAGGGCTGCTGGAAGCTCCCCTGCCAGCGCTCACGATGCTCTGCTCACCCCCGACTTGACCCTGCTTCCTTCTG